ATTGATTCAATGACAATATTTAGGTATTGCCAGATTGATTATTGATTCAATAACAATTTATTTTAGGTATTGCCAGGTTGTTATTGACTCAATAATATTTAAGGGTTGCTAGATTAGTTACTTAATTCAATAAAAACAATAAAATTAAGTATTGCCAGATTAAATATTGACTACTAACAAAAATATTATCAATATAGTCAATCTGGCAAGACTTAAATTTTGTTACTAAATCACAAATTAATCTGAGCAAAATTTAAGTATTACCTGATTCATTCGGAAAAATTTAAGTATTGCCAGATTCACTATTTATTCAATGACAATATTTAAGTATTGCCAGATTGATTATCGATTCAATAACAAAATTTAGGTATTGCCAGATTCATTATTGACTCAATGACAAAATTTTTAGGTGTTTCCAGATTTGTTATTGACTCAATAATATTTAGGTGTTGCTAGATGAGTTACAATAAAAATTTAGTATTGCCAGATTAAATATTGACTCACTAACAAAAATATTATCAATGTAATAAATCTGGCAATAATTAAGATTTGTCATTGAGTCAAATAAATAAATCGATTCAATAACAAAATTTAAGTATTGCCAGATTCACTATTGATTCAATGATATTTATTTTTAGGTATTGCCAGATTTGTTATGGATTCAATAATATTTTGGGGATTGCTAGATTAGTTACTAATTCAATAATAACAATAAAATTTAAGTATTGCCAGATTGAATATTGAATCACTAACAATTTAATGAATCTGACAATATTTAAGTTTTGTCATTGAATTAAATAAATAAATTTTGCAAAATTTAAGTACTTCGATCGATTCAACAACAGAATTTAAGTATTGCCAGATTCACTATTGATTCAATGACAATATTTAGGTATTGCCAGATTGATTATTGATTCAATGACAATTTTTAGGTATTGCCAGATTTGTTATTGACTCAATAATATTTAAGGGTTGCTAGATTAGTTATTAATTCAATAATAACAATAAAATTTAAGTATTGCCAGATTAAATATTGACTTACTAACAAAAATATTATCAATATAGTCAATCTGGCAAGACTTAAATTTTGTTACTAAATCACAAATTAATCTGAGAAAAATTTAAGTATTACCTGATTCATTCGGAAAAATTTAAGTATTGCCTGATTAATTATTAATTTAAGAACAAATTTAGGTGTTATTAGACTAATTATTGAAATAGCAGATTTATATAGAAAAACTTAAAAAAAAACGCTACTGACAAACAAATAATCGAAAACGAAGTTTCTGTTAGAAAAAAAATGTGGAAAAAACATTACTGATTAAATAATATAATTTCAGTATTATCAGAATAATTATTCATCACACTAGAGCTTCCAGATTAATAGAACATTCAAACAAATCAAAATTTGTTAGGGTTGCCATATTACTCATAGATCAATTAAAACGATTTAATTTTAATATTATTTATCAAATAATTGAAAAAAATATGCTTCTATTAATATATTTTAAATAAAATATTAATTTTATACTCCCAACAGTGTTACCATATCAAAATCAACGTCCCTCGCATAGTATTACCACATACTATCACACAAGTGTTGCCAGATTGTCGTAAAATAACCCTTAACTCTAACAACATGTTTATAATATATTTTATCATTTTTTTTTTAATTCGATGCCAATAGAATTTTTAAAAATACAAAATGGGAAGAATTAGAATTTAGAATTAGTTAGTGATGAGACTTAAGAATTTATTATAAATACTTATTATTATTATTGATGAGGACTTAGAATAAAAAAAATTATTTAAATATTTTAGAATAAGGGCTAAAGTTTAATAATCACAATGAGCGTATTGCTAAAGGTATATTGGATTGGTAAATGGTGATGCGAATTTTGTACCGAGGAGGAAGGGACTCTACTGACGAGCAAATAAAACTATTTATTAAACTAAAGAGTGATATTGAAAAAGTAATGTAATAAACGCTTTACTGAAGAAAGAACAAATTGATAAGAAAAAATTCAATATCAGTTTTAGAATAAATTAGAAAGTTTATAAAAGAAGAAAAAAGAAATCTACTGAAGAGCAAATTAAGCTTTCATTCGGGCTAAAAATAACTGACAAAGGCTTTAAAATATAAGGGAAAAAAGGACTCTACGGACTTGGTACAAAATACCACCAAACCAATCCGTTAAGTATTTGTTTAAAAATAGTTTATGAAAAGATACAAAAGTTATAGCTAAAAAATATAAATATTCAGATCTTAATTATATATATATATATATATATATATATATATATATATATATAATTTTTAATATATATTTATAGACTTTATAGATATAGCAATAGACTTTTATAGATGATATATAATATCTATAGATGATATATATCGTGATATATACAGATATAAATTTATTTAGTGGAGTTTTGATGTAATTAACTAACAAATATATATATATATATATATATATATATATTATATATATATATATATATAATTATATATATATATATAAATATATATATATATATATATATAATTTTTTTAATTATAAAAATTTCTAGCACATTGAGTTTCAAAAATATTAAATAATATTAAACAAGAAAATTGAATATAAAGAAAGAACTCTACTGACGAGCAAACGAAATTAGAAAGATATTGCATGAGTTTAATACAACTTTAAATAAAAATTATTTTAGGGAAAAAAAATATCTCAGTTAAAAAATTACTTTCTTGGCATTACTATTATTTATTCAAAGTTTGCTCGTCAGTCGAGTTCCTTTTTCGTGAAAAATCATTCAATTGCTAAGTTTGAATTCTTTTTTGTAAAAAAAATCGTTCAAAAAATCAGTTTGCTCATCAGTAGAGTTCTTTATTGTAAAAAATCATTCAAAAGTTCAGATTGCTCGTCAGTAGAGTTCTTTCTCTTCTAAAAGTCATTAAAAGATTTAGTTAGATCGTTAGTAGAGTTCTTTTTCTTATAAATGTAATTCAAGGATATAGTTTGCTCATCAGTAGAGTTCTTTTTTTCGTAAAAAATCATACAAATGTTCAGTTTGCACGTTAGTAGAATTCCATTTTTTGAAAAAGTGTTCAAAAATTGAGTTTGCTCGTCAGTAGAGTTCTTATTTTTGTAAAATCATTCAAATGCTCAGTTTGCTTGTTAGTAGAGTTTCTTTTTTTTAAAAAAAAACACTCAAATGCCTAGTTTGCTCGTTAGTAGAGTTCCTTTTTTTGAAAAATGAAATGTTCAGTTTGGCCGTCAGTAGAGTTTTTTTTCGAGAAAAATCATTCAAAAATTCAGTTTGCCCGTCAGTAGAGTTCTTTTCTTGTAAAATCATACAAATGTTCAGTTTATACGTTAGTATAGTTCCATTTTTTTAATAATCATTCAAAAATTCAATTTGATAGTCAGTAGAGTTCTTTTTTCCTAAAAAATCATTCAAAAATTCAGTTTGCTCGTTAGTAGAGTTCCTTTTTTTGAAAAATCAAATGTTCAGTTTGGCCGTCAGTAGAGTTTTTTTTTTCGAGAAAAATCATTCAAAAACTCAGTTTGCTCCTCAGTTAAGTTCTTTTTTTCTTATAAATCGTTCAAAAATTCACTTTGCTCGTCAGTAGAATTTTTTCTATCCTAAGAGTCATTTACAGATTTAGTTTGATGGTCAGTAGAGTCCCTTTTCTCATAAATGTAATTCAAAGAAATAGTTTGATGGTCATTAGAGTTCCTTTTTCATAAATGTAATTTAGAGATTTAGTTTGATGATCAGTAGAGTCCCATTTTTTATACATGTGATTCAGGAAAATAGTTTGAAAGTCAGTAGAGTTCTTTTTCTTATAAATGTAATTCAAAGAAATAGTTTGATCGTCAGTAGAGTTCCTTTTTTTCCTATAAAATCATTCAAAAATTCAGTTGGTTCTTTCTTCTCGTCAGTAGAGTTCTTTCTTTCTAAAAGTCTTCTTCCATTTTCTCAAAAAAACATTGTAAATTTAA